ATCTTCGCTATAATACCAAATTCGGTATATTGAGGTTCGTTATATCGAGGTTATACTATATTAATAATAAAGACCTTTAAATTTATATTTGTATAAACATTCAAATATTTAAACATTGTTATATAAAGAATCCCTTTTTTTCTTTTAATAAAAAAAAAAACTTCACAAAAATAGTTATTTTGAGCAATAAAAGTTCTTCAAAAGCCTGTATAACTATAAAATTAAAAAGAAAATAGAATGCTCGAAAAAAATTAAATATTGTTGTTTATTATAAACAAAATAAAACAAATATCAAAAAAACATGTAGACAATTTAATATTTAACCTAAACAGTTATGCAAATGGATAAATAAAAAAGAAGAGTTAGCTAAAGCTTCACCAAAAACCTTCAAACTACACAAAAGCAAATCATCTCATTTTTCTCAAATTGAAGAACATTTATCTAATTGGATTATAGAACAATATCAGCTACAAAATATCATTACTCAAGATATGATAACTGCCAAGACAGTTTCACTTATCCGACATACCAATTTTCAATATTTGCCAAATATTCAGTCATTTAAATTTTTATGTACTTGGCTTGATAGTTTTTTAGATTAGTATAATTTATAACTTCGTCATCAAACAACCATTTCTCAAAAGCTGCTAGAAGATTTTGAAGAACAAAAACAAAACTTTTTTAGTTATATTTTAAGACAGCACAATTATTCTTTATACTTAATAGGAAACATAGATAAGACCCCTCTTACCTTTGATTTGCCAAATTCAACAACTATTGACAAATGAGGAGCAAACACCATTAGTATTCACACCATGGGTTATGAGAAAAAAATTTCACAGTTGTTCTAACTTGTTTAGCTAATAGAATGAAATTGTCTCCAGTTTGTATATTTAAAAGAAAAACTATATCTTGTGCTAATGTGATTGTTCGTACAAATGAAAAAGACTGGGTTAATAAGCTAGAAATGTTATGGTGAATAGAAAATATCTGGACTAGAAGGGCTCCTAATAACTTAAATTCTCTTTTGATTCTTAATTTATTTTATGTGCATATAGTTGATCTAGTTAAACTTTGATTTTCTATTTATAATATGGATCTAGCTATAATTCCTGATAGCTTAACATCTAAATTACAACCTCTAGATGTTAGTGTTAATAAAAGTTTTAAAGTAAAAGTCTGTACACTTTACAATCACTGGATGTCAGATACAATTCATAAACTTATTCCATCTGGGCATATTAGATAATCATCATATGCACTTCTTGCTGAATGAGTTGGAATTGTGTGGGATTTAACTGAACTAAGTCTAATTAAACATGCATTTAGTTGTTGTAAAATTTGATGAATGTTTTTTTTTTTTGATAAAACTTTTGATAAAATAGATTAAGCATTCTTAAAGCTATATAAACATTTTTTTCATTTTTTTGATAATAGATTTAAACATATAATAGATAATAATCAAGGTTATACATAATACAATAATAAATACTTGATATGCACCATTGAAATATTTGTATAGGCCAATAAAAATTTTAGGAGAGAATACTTTAGACTGTGAAATATAGTATTACTTTCTTTCAATATTCATTTAAATATTGTACATTCATTATATACATCTTTAGATGGCTTTTTGATAATAATTTTATTAAGTTCAATATCTTGTTTCCATATTTTTTGAAAGCTCCAATGACTTTTAATAAGTTTATCCAAATATAATAGGTTATAAAAAGCAAAAGGTGACTATATAAATAATAAGATGGGAGAAAAATAACATCATGTTTTTTATATTGTATAGTTATTTGCCTATCTACCTTTTTTCAAGTATATTTCCTAACTACCAATGATTCACCATGTTGTTCTCCAACTAACCTAATAAAAGATTTTACTTTATTAAGTGTCTCAACAGGAAATGCATTATCAGGTTGACAACCAGTATTTCCATGAAGTTGAAAAAGCATTGACTGTTGTTCTTGAACCTGCCCATAAAGACAATAGTAGGCATCCTTGCCACATACCCAAAATGTTCTAAAAAAAAATAACACAAACTTCACCAAAATATGGCAGTTAATATCTATTTTGAAAATATTTTTTGTGTGGTCCCTTATCAGAGGAAGCTATAAGTATTAACATTAAATATTGGCATTGTTTTTTGTTCATTTTTATGTATTCTAATGCTAATGATTGCAATAGATCCAATGAAACCTTTTCACTACATTTTTCTTTACACAAACAACATGACTTAAGCTTCTCAACTAAATTATCTGTATCAATTTGATATTTTTCAGGAACATCTTTGGGCTCTTCATCTGCAGCATCTTCATCACTTGACTCTAATTCTAATTCGATTTGATAGCTTTTAACTATTTCTTCATCACCATATCTCATTTCCTCATCACGATATTCCATCTTCTCATCATGGTATTTTATTTCTTTGAAAAAGTACTCCAAGTCCTCAGGCAATTCCATTAATAAGAAACTTTGAAAAAAATTAAAAAATAAAAATCAGATTTAGTTTTTGAATTATCGTGTGGTTTACAAACAAAAATAAGTTCATAAGAAATTTGATTAAGATCTTATTTCTTATCTATTTATTTTGACACGATTCATTAGTCTTTACTAATTTATTTAACTCTTTTTTTTTTGAGCTAATTAACAAAGCACTCAACTAGTTACACAATACTAGTTAACTAGATATATTTTTGGGGAATTTACATATAGGTACCTGAAAAGTGAAAATAATTACAAATAAGTGCCTGAACTAAAAATAATTACATATAAGTGCCCGATATTTAAAAAATATTATATATAGGTGCCCAAATTATCGATAGTTGAAAAAACATGACTACTACACTACAAAAGTACAAACTAAAATTATCAAATTGCCAAATATATTCATTATAAGTGAATAAAGCATTGGTTATAATTATTTTTGCAATAATATTTATTAAAAAAATTTAAACTTTATATTAGATAGCGTCTATGCATGTTGCCTCAAACTAAAGAACTAATTTTTATTTTTTCAATGCATGCTTTCGACTACAAGTATGTACGTTATGCCCTTTTTTGCCACATTTACCACAGGCAAGTTGGTCTTCTTGTGCAGTCTCTGCACGGCTATATAAACAAATTTTTCGTAGTCATCCTGTTTGTTTGATCATGGCTAAGTAGTTTGTTGGAGTTATTAGTCCTAAACTTATAAGGCGAAGATAGAGCTGAGTGAACGCTTTCCAAATCAGGAAATTTCATACTGATTTGCAGTGTTGTATTTGACATTATTGTTATTGATCAGGTTTGTTATAAAAATAGGTAATATTAACAAAGCAAAT